GAAGTCCGAGGTACAGTCACTAGACAGGACACTGGCAAACTATCTCAGGAGACAAAAAATCTCATTAAGAGACGACAAATCATGAAAGCCTCAAATGCAACTGACAATATAGAGCTTGTGGAGCTTTTGAAGTTCATAAATAGGCACAAGGTAGCCGACATCAGAAGGTATAAAATGGAGAGAACTGAGCCTGTAAAAAGTGGCAGAAGCTTAAAAGCAACGAAGGAATACTTGTGCATAGGCAAAAAATTGGATGTATGGATTAAGGGACAAGAATGGCAATGTCATAACCAATTTGGAGAGGATAGTTGAGGTGGCGGAGGAGTTCTACAGAGTTGTACAGAAGCCGAAACAACCAGAATGATATCATTAGAAGCAACAATAGCCCAGAGGGATTTGATGTCCTACCAGTAACGACAAGGGAAGTAAGGAAAGCCCTAGAAGGAATGCAAAGAGGCAAAGCCGCTGGTGAAGATAAGGTAAGAACAGACCTGTTGAAAGATGGTGGAGAAATTCTGTTTGCAAAACTGGCCACCTTATATACAGTCAAGCCCACATATAACGGCCCCACTTAAAACGAACTTTCGCTTAAAACGAACAATATCCGCGTGACTGTGAAAATATACATTGATTCAGTGGCACAAATTCGCACTTACAACGAACGTCTCCGAGTGCCGCTGATCGGTTACCGCAGACGGAGTCAGCGGTCTGCCGACTTCCCGGGAAACCGATTTCGACCACTGATCAGGCATCAGCGAGGTGCCCATACATTCTTATTGTTAAACGCCGACCCTGCCTCTGCGCTCCTCTAGTGTCCGCTCTCCCCAACCCATGGAGGAAGAAAAGTTGTTTCCTTCCTCCATGGCTCGACTGCTCTTTGTTACGCACCCCTCCGTCCTTTGTCCCCCCGCTACTCTGAGCGCCCCACATCTCCAGACGAGGCCTGTATTTTGACACTGCCACCAATCTTTCAAAGACCGGTCGGCCATCTACCCTGTTTTTGATCGCTGGTACTGTCGTTGGCGGCGCCGGCCTGGAGTGACCAGACCATTTGCCAACATCGTCGGCCACCGACTGTATCTGATAGTCTGCGTCTAGTGCACGCGCGTACGCTACCCCAACGACTCTGATATGCGATTCGTTTCGTGTTTAGGACTTGAAGTTATCTTGGGAAAGGATTCCGGGTCATTGGCTGTGTTCATCCTCAGCCCAGAATGCTTTGAAAGTTTTATTACTTTTTTTGTGGGCAACTGGCCTTAGAAACATATTTTAGTGTCGTAATATTTTTAGTTTTGCTTTTCCTCTTTCTCCATCTTTTTTGTCTTCCTTACCGCCTTCCCCAGCACAGGGTAGCCAGCCGGTTTAAAAAACGGCTAACCTCCCCGTCCTTTCCCTTTATTTTCTCCTCCTCCTTATTTTACGAAGTAAAATTCAATCAACTAGTATTGTGTTTATTTGCTATGAAAATAATCATTGAACAAAGTTTTCCAGAATGCTCAACAGCATGACGTCCTTATTTTGCATTATCAACTGAAATAGGGAGTGCTCCAAAGATGACTGGCTCCATGAGATTTGCAATGAATTGAAATATTCCTTGCTCATCACAAGAGTCCTGAGATATTTATTCATGTCCTTGAGTGTAATGCAACTTCCTTCTCCTCCAGGATGTGAAGTTAGCTGCTCCAGATTTCTCCAAAATGGAAAATTTTGGTGCTCCTAAGTGCTCCAAACTTGAACGTTATTCTGCTCCAAGTGTTCCAAAATGAAAATTTTGCTGCTCCAAGAATTGCTCTAAATTGAACCTCGATAGTATTTATTACTGTATACTACGAACATGTGAAAAAGGGTAGGAAAGAAACAGATGGACGCCCGTCTGTCTCTTTGGAGCCCCTCTTTGTCATGTTCCTAGTTTCGTGCCAGTAACGAGATGTTCAGCAAAATATGTCCATTTAAGGGGAGATGCGGGTCGAGAAACGCGAGTTTTTTTTTATTTTCAGAATTACTGATTTTTTAATTTTTGCCTGTTTTGATAAGATTAGTACCTCTACTGTTATGAAAAAAAAAATACAGGTCGAGACTTAACTGGAAATGCTTTAAAATTGCATCTAAACAGTACAAGGTGCCTGTTAAAAGGCGCAAAGTGTGCAGTCTTTGAGCAGCTTGTGGCTGATAATGCGCCGCCGCTCGCCATTGTTGATCGCATAAGCTGAAGAGTCGAGCCTCACTCTTCAAACGACAACAGTTTTTCTCGCTGATTCAGCGCAAGAAATAATAAGAACAAGCACGCTTCTGTGCGTTTTTTGAGCGCCGCGACTGGCTTATCACGTGGTACGGATCGTGGGACCGCCATTGGCCGCTGTGCGCCTGTATGTACTGTGTGAGCCTATTTGCGGGGTCCATGTCTTGTTGAGCAGTGCAGCTGAACAATGCTTTTCTCGTGTAATTATCTGCGTTATGAATGAAAAAAGCCATTGCTCGCAACTGAAAGCCGTTGTGCGGCGCGCTCTGTAGGAATAGGCTACGAGCAGCTGGTTCGATTTGTGGCAGTTGTTGGCTTGCAAAAGCCAATGCATCAAAAGTCATTCAGACCCGTCAGCTGGAAAGTTTGTGATGTGGCAATGGATGATGTCAGCGCCAATCTTGTGAGGTCGAAAGAGCTCACAAAGAGGGAACTTAGCAGGGACGACATTTCCATTATGTATGACGGTATGTGGCAAAAACATGGCCGCAAAATGGCATGACACTGGACTTAGTTTGGATTTCGCAGTCCTGTCGAACTTCTTCCTAGCTTGCAGTTGGCATATGACTCTGCCAGATGGAGCGGAAGTTTGGCAAGCGTTTCACGGCCCTGTCTGTGAGCGAAATGTCTGTGTGGATTTGGCTGGAAAAAGCAGAGAGAGACAAACTTGTGGGGCTGGCGTATTTTAGTGGCAGTGGCCACTACAAGAAAGATTGTTCTTTTTGGTTGTCAAATTTCATCAGATTTAATGATATCTTTCTTAATAAAAACTCAATTTTAACTTTAAAACTCAAAACACAAATTTTGCCATTTTTTTTTTTCAGTGTGCCCCTCCTTTTTCAGGCACTTATAGTGCTCGGATCTGAATGAAGTTTTGCCCAAATTTTTTCCAAAGTGTGACAAATGCAAAAATCTAGCTTAAGTTTTAATATTTTATTGCATTATAAAAAATTGTATGTAAACCTTTACTAGGGTAGGTGAAATATAAACTTTTTACGTCTATTATTTTTCACGCCTATTACATATTTTGTATGTGCTTCCTAATTAGTTATTTGCATTCTACACTTTATTTCAAACACCCCGCCGCGGTGGTCTAGTGGCTAAGGTACTCGGCTGCTGACCCGCAGGTCGCGGGTTCAAATCCCGGCTGCGGCGGCTGCATTTCCGATGGAGGCGGAAATGTTGTAGGCCCGTGTGCTTAGATTTGGGTGCACGTTAAAGAACCCCAGGTGGTCGAAATTTCCGGAGCCCTCCACTACGGCGTCTCTCATAATCATATAGTGGTTTTGGGACGTTAAACCCCACATATCAATCAATCAAACTTTATTTCAAACATCATGAACTATGAATAGTAAAAAATTATGGAAGATCAGGCATGAAAAGAAGGGGGGCAAAAGGGTAAAGGTTTTCGCTTTGTCATGTTTGAAAGCTAAAAGTATGCAACTTGTAAGAAAACTAATAATATATTTGAAATCAGCATGAAAAGTTCCATAAACACCTTAAGTTTCATTGCTCTAGGGTGAATATTGAAAAAAAGTGTCTTCGAGTAGCATCTCCCCTTAACCGTGGAAGTGTAGCGTGACGATAGTTATAGCGCGAGAACAAAATGACGACACAGAGACAAGAAGGACACGAATGTCGTCGTTTTGTTCTCGCGTTATAACTATCGTCATGCCATACCAACTAGCCCAAGCTGCCACACTTGAAATGTAGCCTTGCGACAGTGCAAGTTTTCTTTGGATGGTAGGTTTCATGGCATAGCAATGCTGTGTTACAATGAAACCACCTCTGTAGGGGTGTTGTATGCGGTAAAATGTACATACATTCGTTCGCTTAGAAATTTCGAATTATCGAAATTAATGTCAAAGGGAATTCGAATACTGTGATATTCATGTGAATATTCGAAGTGTCCGAATATTTGCCCATCTCTAGCTTTTTTCAAGTTGTGTCGACTAGTGGCTAAGGAATGGCAAGCTACATACAGGTTTGGATGAATTGAACCTTCTACATAATAAATGTGCTTTGGTTCAACTTCATTTAGCAGTGTATTGTTGTAGGCACTACCATGTTCAAGTCGTTCTATGTGCCTTTTTAAATTGTCTTTGCTCAAAATGACATAACTTGAAAGTGACAGTTTCCTTTTGCTAGCCTGATATTTCATTCTATTTATGCAGAAATAGAACATGAATGACTTGAGGGTGAATAGATATTTGAATGAAATTAATTACTATTGAACACTTAAGTCAACATATTATGACATTATATTTGTTGAAATAACATGATGAATACCTTTAAATAATGTTTAACCATGACTCTTTTAAGGACAGTTATTAATAAGTGGCATCTAAAAGGGTTGTGAGTCCTGTATTTTGCATGTGGTGGCTGGAGCTTATGTACTTGAGCACAAGGTATTCGTAATATTTTTGACTGCTGCATTTTCATATGAGCCAGAGCATCTATCCAGTAACAAAACATTGAAGCATGCTTTTGGCCAAGCCCATTTCGTAGGTGTTTGTTTTTTTACCCGCGTTTTTTTTTTCTCTTCTGGTCTTTTGAAAATTCTCAAGAGCACAATGGCTTAAGTCTACTCTGAAGAAGGGGCCTTGCGAGTTCAAGCTTTCTTGATAGTTTGTTCTCCATACTGACAATAGAGGCAGCTTTTAGTTTGGCCTTATTTGAGTATGCCTGAATGGGTCAAGGCACTGTTACCACAATTACTGACGAGGAGACTAGTCATCCTTTTTTGTTTTTACTTCTTCAGACCTATACTATGGTGGGGAGGCTGTTTCTGTGGAACAGCCGCAGTCATATACCTGTCCAATCTGTGGCAAGATGGGCTTTACCGAACTTGCCCTTCAAGAGCACGTGATAGCCGAGCACATGGATGCTACATCAGAAGTGGTGAGCAGTTCTGGACCTTATAAGCTGTTGCCATAGTGTGCTGAACTTTGTCCTTGTCTAGCGTGGCATGCATTAAGAGGTTCAGTTACTAGTGAAAAGTAGCGGCAGCTGTGTTAGTTGATGTGACAATCTTACTGATGGAAAAACTCGTAGTTTGCAGACAAAAAATAAAAAGGAAAGAGGAAGGTGCCCAAGTGCCTGGTGCATTTTATTAAAATATGAAATATAACTCTTTCTTAAAGTCCATCTACCAGAAAAAAATATAAATGTAGTAAAACAAAAAAATTAAACTGGAAAGAAAAAAAAAACGACAGGCCTGCTTGGAAGGCGCAGTACAGTCGCAGCGAAAGCTAGAAAAACGGCCTTTCAGAGCCTTTTCTGAACACTCATTGGGTAACTGCTGCAAGCATACTTGCTTAATGCCCACTACGGCATTAATAATAAAAATTTTAGGGTAGTAGGCCGCTTTTTGTCATTCTTCTGAGAAGAATGACAAAATTCCACTACACTATTGACAAATTCCACTACACAATGACAAATTCCACTACACTATTGCAATTTTCTGCCAATTGTTCATGCAGTGACTGATGATGATGAGGAATTATGGCTGAAGAGGGTATGTGCCGCAGTTGATAGGGGAACAAGAACGAGGTTTTGTAATGAGTTGGAGCATTGGACGACCCACTCGTTATGCTATTCGCATTGTGCAATGAATAATTGTTCTTTCACTGCTTTAAAACACTTTATGAGTCGTAATAACGCGATTGCTTTCCCAACATTAAGCCTACCTAAAGCAAGTTTGCCAACAAGTCCCAAGCAGCGGCATGGCTCAGTGGTAGAATACTGGGCTGGCACCTAGCTGACCCGGATTCGAGCCCTGCTGTGTCATTGGTACTAGGTTTTTTTTCTTATTTCCTGCGATGTGGTTACGAACATTGGCGGTGGCGGTGAACAATTCTGGTGCTGCGCGATACCAGAGTCGTGATTACATAACAGCGTTCGCTGTAAAAGGGTGATGCTGTCGATGTTAGAGAGGGAACATCTGAGTGCGGGCCACGCCCCATGCAGCGTCATGCACAGCAAGCAGTTAAAACCAAGCGCATGTGCTAAAAGACTCAGAAGGGGCACATGCCACGTGTCGTCTGTTACTGAAATGCCCCTTTGTTTGAATAGGCTAACCACCCTAGTTCGAGCATGGCCATGCTGTCGCGGGCCTGCAGAGTGATCGCACTCCAATAGGCGTGTGAATAGTTTGAGTGAATTTTTACTTATGAATCCCTGCACTTAAGCATAGGTTTCCTATGGTTCAGGTTGGGGCTCGTTGGATCATGATTGCAACAGGGGAAGAAACAGCGTAAAAAAGTCACGGAAGGTAAACGAGAACTCTGAAATCATTAGCAGAGCGCGTGGGATATGCATACCCAAAATAAAATGCACGTTATCAAGCCGTACCTTGGCAATTGGCAGCCAGTATTGAAATCGCACCACACGCAAGTTTAACACTAACGAGGTTACGAATAGGACACACACAATCACACATACGTACCTTCCAAACTGCACTTTATCAAGCCGTACCTTGGCAATTGGCTGCCAATATTGAAATCACACTTCACACAAGTTTAACACTAACGAGGTTACAAATAGGACACACACATATCACACATCTGTCCGAAAATAATCCACCCATGTGCGAGAGATGTGGAGAATCACTTAGTATGCTTCACATCCTCATTCAGTGCACTGAATTGGACGATATCAGAAAGAAGCACTTCACATTACCTTACTGACAACAATTTCCACTGAATCCTGTCATGTTCTTCGGTAGAGGCCCGCTTTTGACATGTCAGTCACTTTCTACTTTTTTTTAAACGATTTACATAGTTATCGTATCATACACCGAGGGGATCCATAGCACGGCCTCTCTGCAGAGGTCGTTGCTGCGGTGACTGCTATTTAAAAAAAAAAGGACCTACTTCGTGGCCCTTGGACTCAATGCCATGCTTCCAAAATCACGACCACAAGTGATTGATTTTCACAGCAGACGTCACACCACTTCCATAGTTTTAGTATTTACATGTTTTACCCGCCTTTACTGCGAGGAATTTTAGGCCCCTATTCAGCCACTTAACATCTTATTTTTCGCAACTTCACATCCCCTGAATGTCATTGTGAATAACTGATCATTGTTATCATTACATCATCTTTCATGGCACTCTTTGGCCGAGCATGGCCCTTGCAGCACTAAAATTCATATATCGTCATTGTTATCACATGCGTTTGGTTTTTACTGCTTGCGCTGCATGAGAGCGGGAGCCACACACTTGCGTGCTCCCTCTAACAGTTGACCGACTTGTGCATGACACCAATTTAACTTTGATAATAACTTCCAGGAGCCATTGTCAAGGTTAATTGTGGCAGGTCACTTTTACTTTCATAGCTATTTGGGGCCTCTTAGAAATGATATGAGGGTGTCTATTATTGAATTAGTGTTGCAATAAAAAGAAGCCAGTTGCCATTCTGTACTTATTCAAGATTTCACATTATGGGAAAGTTATTGTCAACAGACATAAGATTGACGCAGTGTTTGTACTCGCCGTCTATTTTGTCAGATCTTGGGAACCGAGAAAGATGTTGGCATGACTCTAGTAGAACTCACTGTTGGGCTAGTTGGTGCATGTCTTGATTAAATAGTCAACTGTCAACTTCGCGCCAAATTCACACCCACAGAGAGGAAAAACACAGACACCACAGGCGCTCACTTTCAACTGTTTATTCCTTGAGGAAACTGGCTAATATAAACCCACTTCTTGTCGGCACATGCACAACATGATCAGCCCTTCTTTTACTTAATCACACTATCAGACACATGCTCTTTAGATAACGTTTTTTTTACTCTTACAGGTTGAGTGACGTTTCGCTAACATACTTGATACCCTGAGAAGTCGGTTTATATTAGCCTGTTTTCTCAAGGAATAAACAGTTGGGAGTGCTCGTGGTGTCTGTGTTTTTCTTCCTCTGTGGGTGTGAATTCGGCGCGAAGTTGACTATTTCATCTAGATGTTGGCATGAGCGAACGTTATGTTTGGCATGCACTTTGTCCTTTGTTCCTTGCGGGGTCTGTTTATTTGCTAGCTGCCTTTCACTTTCATGAAGACACTAATCGTCAATTATCTTGTAGTTGGTCAGTGTAGAAGATGCGTTGTCAGATAAAAAACTCAAGCAGACCTCTACGTCTCCACCTTTCTACCAATTTGCAAACAACTACAAGAAAATCGGCTTGCCTCTTTGTACTAATAAACACTCATTTTCACCCACATCCGTAACTGGCTTGACTGTATGTTGAGGCTCATCACATTTGTCTACTTCAGGATTATTGTTTTAAGCCCCCATTCACACCTCTAACATGTCATGAAATAACATATACGTATGCAATCACTGAAACAGTTTTGCACACGTACAGTGGTAGTCAAAATTTTAGAGACTGCAGGAGCGGGTGGCAAATAGCACTGTGGCGCCTTCTGGTGGCTGCCTACAAGGCCCAAGGAAGTCTGCATTGCGCATGGGCATCTTTCTTTACCTGCCAGCTGGCTCATTTGCTTTGCTGAAAGAGTGTGCGTACCGTAAGTTCAGTAAAAGCGCAAGGTGTCACTTCTGCAGTTCCTGTGGAAGCACCTAGTGATGATGTGATAAAAATGCGTAATTTTTACAGGCATAGCTCAGTGCGTGCCGTACTCGCGCGTTGGTCTCAGACGTTCCACAGCACGGAAAACACACATTGAATCAGTTCTTCTAAAGTTGACCTATCTGATAAGATTACCCAGCAACTTTCATTTGTGGAACTCACGCATGCTGGAATTTCTTGTGGTGTTTGGTGCAAGGCGTAATCTAGTTATATAAAAAGAGGAAGGAATAAATGTGTGCAGGCGAGCACTGCAGAAAGAGGAAGAAGTTGAAATCGTGAACAGCATTCGGTCTGGTTTCTTTGCCAATCGTTGGTTTTCCTTTACACAAGTAATGTAACTAAGTATTTCTCGTGATTTCTTGCGGTTTGTGTAAAAACACAAACACAAGTTGCATTTGTTATCTGTTCACTTCTTCAGGTGTCTTCTACAGTTGCTCGATATCCAGATGTGGATCAGCCTGTAAAATTTATAGTGAGTATTACCAAAGGTATTACTAAAGGTTACTAAAGGCTGACCAAATTAGAGTGCGAAAGACAGCGCTGCTTGGTAATCTGATTGCACAAGTTGAATTCAGAAAAATGACGCTATGCATGTCGGAGTACTTCCCGTACAAATGACGTATTTTTGACACGATATCAGTGCTTTGTACTTCCTCGGCAACTGTAGAAGTGACACCTTGAGTCTTTCCTGACATTCGGCACACGCATACTTGAAGTGAGCTAAACAGCAAGCTGGCAGGTATAAGAGAACGCATGTGTTCAATGCGTGCTCTTCAGCTTCGCAGGCAGTCGTCGCAATGCGCTGCGTTGCTCTTTGCCGCACACTCCTGTGGTCTCTAAAATTTGGACTGTCACTGTACCAACATGGTGGGACATGAATTTTGTGATGTTTTATTAATGCTTTCACATCAATATTCATGCACAGAGGCCAAAAATGTTCGAGTGCTGTCTTTATCAATTGAATCAGGCTAACTGCCAAGTGATTGTGATGTCTTGGCATCATCAAAGCCCCTGTAGTGGAGTACCAGTATGTTAAGAACCGTAATCTACAACATGACAAAGAACCTATCAATTTGTGTTGCATTTCTGGGCTGCCTAATCTTGATTCACATGTTGATTGTATTATTTGTTTACTGTGTTGCTTTACTTATCGTAAGGTGCTGTGTAAGTGCCCAGTGTTAACATTTTTGAAACTTTTGTATTCTGAATAGTGTATGTTAAGCGTCTGCCCCTCCAAGTGCCAGCATCAGCCTAATTATTCATCTCATTGTGGCCATTATCAAACTGCTAGGGGCTATTTGCTAACTGCATGAGTCCGATCCTCTAGCCACATAATTGGCTCCTACATGCTCAAAGTGCCCTTTATTAGCTTATTTTGCCTGCAGATTATACCACAATCGGCAGACCTTCATCATTTGAGCCCAGTGGCATGTTCAGATTGCTATACATGGGGCCTATAGGGAGTTTCACATTAGATAAGAATGAATAACTCGGGCCTCATTGTCTGGCCAGAGCGATTCTCGAATTAATTGAATGGTGTAATAACTACGGATGTATCATGCCTATTTTGCAGGTGTGTCCTGTCTGTGCTGCTTTGCCTGGAGGAGAACCAAACCACGTGACTGAAGATTTTGCTGCCCACTTGAGCCTAGAACACCGAAGTAACAGAGATTTGGTTAGTGCAGGGGTTCTCAAACCTTCTGGCCTTGGGGAACCACGATGGTTTTTCTAGAGTACCATAGAACTTTGTCATTAATTTTTTATGTAGGTTTAGCGTGACGAAAATCGAGGTAAGTGGGGAGCGAAGAGGGGGAGAGAAGGATTGGAATGCATGCAATCTCACTATAGATGCTGGCACATTGGCCTGTTATTTTTTATATGAAAGACCATCGCTGCTCCCTATCTTCTGCTTGTGCCAGTCCGTAAGCTGCTTAATGCTCTGAGGGTTTTTGCTGCACATGTACGGCATTGCCTGTATGTTTGAACCGCATGCCTTTTTCGATCATTTTGTCTTGCTGTGCATGTGCTTCCACGCAGCGGGAGTAAGAGTAATTTTTTTCATGCGTCTGTGTCTCTTCGTTTTTTGCTATTTAAGGCGATGCAACGGCTTTCGCCTGCATATTCGCATGCGCAGATGCGGTGCGGTTGTTTCAGCTTTGTCCTTTGAGTGGTTATAGCTTCTCGCACCTGCAAAGCTGCTGGCTGTCTGATATCTAATCTCTCAAAGGGTGACCACTTGTGACTCTCGTATATTGCTCCCTGGGGCGCAATTGCATGTTTCTGTGCAGTGCTAGATTACACAAATGATGACACCGCCTTGGTTGCATTTCCAGTGATCCCACTCCTGCGCCAAAGTGGGCCAAATCAGGAATCTGGCTCGTGAGGCCTAGTCCAATTAATAACGTGAAACTGTAGCTGCGATTCATCGGTGGACATTGTTCGTTTCAGGAACGCTGCTAATAGTTCGTTTGAAGAGTTGCACGACAAGGCAGTCATGTGTTAAAATAACTACAGGTTGTGATTCGATGACCAAATGTAAAAATTGGACCAGGGTTTATGGACAAGACAGCTAAAGCAGGGATCCTACCTCTAGGATGAAAGTGTGTGTTATCCGAGAAGCACACAACTAATTCTGTACATGCCAAAAACTTATGCACTCTAATGAGGGATGACAGCATTTTCACTGAAAATTAAAAATGATGTGAGAAATACCACAACTACCAAATTCTTATTGCAGACTATTTACTATTTACTGTCATGTAAAAATTAAGCAAGTGTCCATTCTAGGCTGTGCCATGGCTCACTGAAGCACACTGTATGTTTTCGAATAGCTCTCGCCCACAGCACAAAGTGAATATATGTGTACCTAATATATAATGTGAGGGAAGTCTAGCTGTACTATTCGAGAAGCTAGAGGGTGTTAAATGGGATATAATAGGGCTCAGTGAGGTTAGGAGGACAGATGAGGCCTATACGGTGCTACAGAATGGGTACGTCCTTTGCTATCGGGGCTTGGCTGACAGAAGAGAACTGGGAGTGGGGTTCCTAATTCACAGAAACATAGCTGGCAACATAGATGAATACTATAGCATTAATGAAAGGGTGGTAGGTATCGTAATTAAACTGAATAAGAGATACAAGATGAAGGTGGTACAGGCCTACGCGCCTACATCCAGCCATGATGACCCTTCAGTTGAAAGCTTCTATGAAGATGTGGAATCAGCAATGAGTAAGGTAAAACACAGTATACAATACTGATGGGAGACTTTAATGCAAAGGTAGGGAAGAAGCAGGCTGGAGACCAGGCAGTAGGAGATTATGGCATCGGTACTAGAAACGCCAGAGGAGAGCTACTAGTAGAATTCGCAGAACACAATAATTTACGGATTTTAAATACCTTCTACCGAAAACGAGGAAACCGCAAATGGACATGGAGGAGCCCTAATGGCGAAAATAAGAACGAAATAGACTTTATAATGAGTGCACACCCAGGCATCGTGCAGAATGTGGAAGTGGTTGGCAAGGTACGATGCAGTGACCATAGAATGGTACGGTCTCGAATTCGCCTAGACTTGAGAAAGGAACGACAGAAACTAATACGCAAGAAGCCAATCAATGAGCTAGCACTGAGAGGCAAAGTACAGGAATTCAGAGTCTTGCTTCAGAACAGGTACTCGGCTCTTAGTGAGGAAACCAACCTTAGCATAGATACAATGAATAATAATCTGACGAGTATCATTACGGAGTGGGCAGTGGAAGTTGGAGGTACGGTACTTAGACAGGACACTGGCAAGCTTTCCCAGGAAACGAAGAATCTCATTAAGAAGCGCCAAATCATGAAAGTCTCAAGTACAACAGACAAAATAGAACTGGCAGAGCTTTCGAAGTTGATTAATAGGCGTAAGGTATCCGATGTACGAAGGTATAACATGGAGAGAATTGAACACGCTCTGAAAAACGGAGAAAGCGTCAAAGCAGTGAAGAGGAAACTTGGGATAGGCAAAAATCGGATGTATGCACTAAGGGACAAAGAGGGCAAAATAACTATCAATATGGATAGGATAGTTGAAATAGAGGAGGAGTTTTACAGAGATCTGTACAGTAGCAGGGACAACCACGACTTTAATACTATAAGAACTAGCAGTAACCCAGATGACACCCCACCAGTAATGATAGAAGTCAGAAAAGCTTTGGAGAGCATGCAAAGAGGCAAAGCTGCTGGTGAGGATCAGGTAACATCAGATCTGCTGGAAGATGGAGGACAGATTGTGTTAGAAAAACTAGCCACCCTGTTTACGAGGTGTCTCCTGACGGGAAGAGTACCAGAGTCTTAGAAGAACGCTAACATCATCTTAATACATAAGAAAGGAGATGACAAGGACTTGAAGAATTACAGGCCGATTAGCTTGCTCTCTGTAGTATACAAGCTATTTACAAAGGTAATTTCTAACAGAGTAAAGAAAACATTAGAATTCAATCAACCAAAGGAACAAGCAGGATTTCGAACAGGCTACTCAACAATCGACCACATTCATACTATCAATAAGGTAATAGACAAATGCTCAGAATATAACCAACCACTATACATAGCCTTCATAGATTACGAGAAGGCGTTTGATTCAGTAGAAATATCAGCCGTCATACAGACACTGCGCAATCAGGGCGTAGATGAAGTATATATAAACATCCTGGAAGAAATCTACAGGGGATCAACTGCTACCATAGTGCTTCATAAAGAAAGCAACAGAATACCAATCAAGAAGGGCGTAAGGCAGGGGGACACAATCTCCCCAATGCTATTTACCGCGTGCTTACAGGAGGTTTTCAGAAGCCTAGGATGGGAACAGCTAGGGATAAGAGTTAATGGAGAGTACCTTAGTAACCTGCGCTTCGCGGATGACATTGCATTGCTGAGTAACTCAGGGGACGAATTGCAACTCATGATTACGGAGTTATACAAGGAGAGCTGAAAGGTGGGTCTTGAAATGAATCTGCAGAAAACGAAAGTAATGTACAACAACCTCGGAAAAGAGCAGCACTTCGAGATAAGTAATAGTGCACTTCAAGTTGTAAAAGACTATGTCTATTTAGGCCAGGTCATAACCGCGGAGCCGAACCACGAGATTGAAGTAACTATAAGAATAAGAACGGGGTGGAGCACATTTGGAAAGCACTCTCAAATTATGACAGGTAGATTGCCACTATCCTTCAAGAGGATGGTATATAACAGCTGTATCTTGCCGGTACTTAGCTACGGAGGAGAAACCTGGAGACTTACAAAGAGGGTTCAGCTTAAATTGAGGACGACGCAGCGAGCAATGGAAAGAAAAATGGTAGGGGTAAACTTAAGAGACAAGAAGAGAGCAGAGTGGATTAGGGAACAAACGGGGGTTAAGGATATCATAGCTGAAATCAAGAAGAAGAAATGGACATGGGCCGGGCATGTAGCGCGTAGACAGGATAACCGCTGGTCATTAAGGGTAACTGACTGGATTCCCAGAGAAGGGAAGCGGGTTAGGGGGAGACAGAAGGTTAGGTGGGCAGATGAGATTAAGAAGTTTGCAGGTATAAATTGGCAGCAGCAAGCACAGGACCGGGTTAACTGGCGGAACATGGGAGAGGCCTTTGTCCTGCAGTGGACGTAGTCAGGCTGATGATGATGATGATGACATGTAATAAAGGAATTTTCATTAATAACTGCTTAGCGTGCCACCAGAATGTCAGTCACGTTTATGTCTGGACATTGCAATTTAATATTCTGTGCTTTGCGTCTGCAGAAGAACACATAAATGGTGGGAACGCGTTGACATTTTTCCTCTAATATACTTTATGCATGGATCATCATACAGAAAAGCTTTTTCGTGATTCCTTCCATCAGTAGAACCGCATTTATAATCGCTGTGGCGGTAAAAGCCCCTAAGAGACCTTGCCCTTTCGAACTCGAGGTTGCTAGGGTCTAAATTGAAAATTCTCGTCTGCTTTCTTTTTAAAAATCATCTCATTTATAAAAGCATGCTTCCTGGTTGGGGGCAGCCGCAAGTCAGTTTTAATACGTGCAGCTATATAGTGAAGCCATTGCTGGTGGCTCAGGTGTCGGAAGGCCTGTGAAGCGGCTACGCCTTGTTACCCGTCCACCTACTGCTGCGTCGCTTGAAGTAGCTGGTGCGTGCCGTCTTGAGGCATTATAAGACTGGCCGTTAACTTTCTATGCTACTAACATCTGCTTCGCGTTTAGATAACTGACAGCACGAAAGCTTCAGCAACTAGAGTGATCATTCTCCCTTTAGCCAGCGTTCTTTTGAGTTACGCGATATTTAATCTAAAATAAGATACAATTCGTTAGTTTTACTTACGCTCTTAGGAGTGAATGTGATACCAACAAATTTTATTGTTATACCAAATGTAAGGCTTGACGTCATTCGTGAGAAAAGCTCTGTGAGAAACGACGGCTCGTGGGGATGCATGCCCGCCTGCCCGCCTTGTGCGCAGTGATGAGTGCTTGCTCTCACGTGAGTGTCGTCGGGGCCACAAGTATGTGTCGCCGGGGCCATTGTGCATTTCATCAGCAGTAGGACAACAGTGGAAGATGCATGCTCGTGTGAAAATGACTATTTTGAAGCAAAATTCCTGATTATCCTTGGCGAAAATTCTTTATATTGCCACAAGGCAGTAGTG